CCAAGCCAACTACACCAGAGCACAGGTTGCTGTCCTCTGAAGATGCCGGCCACAGAGACTGGCGAAACGTCAGAAAGAACAACCTTCAGAACACGGCCAAAGAGCCCGAAAAAACCGAGAACAACCAAAACTATTTTAGATAGCACTGCAGTTTTCTACAAATTTAGTACAATTTTTCTTGGGAGCTGACAGAATCTGTAATATACCAATCAAGTGCAAAATTAATACTCTGTACTTACCTTAAATTGCAATTCAGCTGAGTGCTGCTTAGGCTTTCTTTACCTGTTTTAATTTTCTAAAGCTCCCTTTAAGCTCTTTTACAGATAGCAGAAAGCTATCAATAAACAACTCGAATGTCTTCTACAAACTGATTTCCTACAAGTTTTCTCCAGTAATTTTCAAGAGAAGTCATACAGATTTGTGCATAATGTGATATATCATGGCAGGAATACTCGTACCTTCATACAATCACTGGTAAGTCATCCTACTATTTAAAAAAAGGTAAAGCCATAAAGCCAGCGTTTGTCTGAAGACCATTTCCATGGTCATGTGGCCAGCGCGACTAGACACGGAACGCCATTACCTTCCCTCCATGGTGGTACCTATTTATCTACTCACATTTACATGCTTTTGAACTGCTAGGTTGGCAGGAGCTGGGACAAGTGATGGGAGCTCACTCTGTTGCATGGATTTGATTTTACAACTGCTGGTCTTCTGACCCTGCAGCACAGAGGCTTCTGTGGTATAACCCGCAGCGCCACCACGTCCCTCTCTACTATAAATACATATTAACAAAATTGAATTTTGAAAAGGAAGCATCTTCCCTACACATGGCAATACTGTTGTGAACTGCAGATGCAACATATGAGCAGTAAAAATGGACAAGTTCCTAAAGATGTCGTATATTCAAGAATTAACTTGTGTGCACACATGTTGTGGAAAAAATTATAAATGGAAAGCTAGTGAACCATGTCCCAAGAGACATCTGATTGTATCAACACTTAACAATGCAAATTGGTTAAAGCTCCACTTCATCTAACTGTTCATATGCGTACATGAATAGCAAATGCTTAACAATATCACACAACTTTACACCATGCCGCACATTTATGACGCATATTCTCTTACCATTCTTTATTGTGTGACTAAGACTATCATACCTTTCAGATATCACATTGTAAATGGATTAGACATTTACATGCACAAGCAACTGCCCATGGGAACTGGCAGATCAACTTACTCAAATATCAATTGCCATTTTTCTTCCTACAACAACCAGTCGAAAGACTTGTTCTTGTTCTGAAAATACTTCCTATAGACTGACAGTCAAATATGGTGGGACAGAACATCACTTGCACAATCCAACTAATGCCAAATACAGTATCAGAATACAAATTATTTCATCATCCAAGATCAGCACTGAAGTTCTCAGATCTTTAACATTAAGTAATGAACAGTGCCACAAAATTGAATTTCGAAGAGGTAACATCTTCCCTGCATATGGCAATACAGTACTGTTGTGAACTTCGGATGTGATATACGAACAGTAAAACTAGTCAAGTTCGAAAAGATGTCTCATTTTCAAGAAATAGCTTATTGGGTACACACGTTGTTGAAAGATGTTGTTGAAACTTAAAATGGGAGAACCAGTGACACCTAGACAATTTATTAAAGTTAGAAACTTAAAAAACATAGTAGTATTCGCTTACACATGAAAAATTAGACAGCTGATAACTCAAAAGCAGACAATTCACCTCTGGTGACACAAAGGAATGTCAGAAAAATTACTGTATCCCAGGAGTCTACAAAAACCTCTATGCAGGTCACACAGATTTTGGACGTGCACATGTGAATCATTTCTGGCCATCCCAAGCGCGACTCTTGGGGTTTTGTGTCTCCTTCTTCTGAAACAGCCAAACTCAGAAATCCCGGTGATTTTTGTGGCAAGAGGAACGAGAGAGTCCAAGGCCATCTCCAGCTAAAGGCACGCCTTACCTGCTATGGTCGCGATCATCCCCGCCAGGCTGAACGTCTCCGAGAGCGGCAGCCTCTCCCGGCTGGACGGCTGAGCCCCCTGCGGCCGCAGACGAGCAGGTCGTGGGTGCGGAGCCCTGCGGACCGTCTACATCGCGGGCCGGCGGGGGGACCGCGCTGCCGCTGCCGCCTCTCCCCGCTGCATTCGGCCTCACGTTCGGCTTCACGCTAAACCTGGAACGGCGGAACATGGCGCCGAAAGGGACCCGCCGACGCTCGCTAAAGCCCGCCGTCCCCCTTTTCCTCCGGTCGGCGAGGCCGCCTCATGTCACCGGCCCAGCTTCGCTCTCAGCCCAAACTCCGCTCCCCGCCCTTCCTTTCCCTCCCGGACTGCGTGAGGAGGGCCTGACAGCTCCTCCGGAACGCAACGCGGGGGGTACGTCATCAACCTGCGACAAACCAGCCCTGACCTTTTTTTTTTCCTGTGCAATTATCAAGGCGCTTTCGTACTACCGGGAAAGGCCTTGTACTCTTGCTCTTCAGCTTCCCGTACAGTTCCACCGGGGGTAGGGGGGGGGCTTGTTATTCTTCCTCATCCGAAGATATGCCCGACGTGCGGCAGGTTGCGAATTCCCACACCTACTGAATTTAAGGGGACTCTTTCTCTTCTTTACTGCAATCCTGACATTGGTGCTCTCTGTTGTAGGCGTTAAAATGTTAGAATGCCCGTGTACCGATTTCCTTTGTTATAGAAAGCACAAAACAACGCTGCGAATGTTATTTTCAAGTTGCATCTTAAGTTTTAAAAGATGATTTTAATATCGATATTGCAATGTAGATTTTTATATACACTTCTGGAACAGCCTTTTATTTGCTCAGACGCTTCCAATGAAAGAATGTGATTAAATCCTATACTGCAGTTCCAAAGGGCCACAAACTTAATATTGATAATTAATGGCATTAATTAACATAATGGGTGGAGTTTCTCTATTCATCCCATAAAATGTATTGCAGTTTGTATTTTCATCAATAAAGTCATACAAAAAGGGACATGATTTCCCCACAGTATCTGCAAGTTTTCCTTATTAACAGCACTAGAGACTGTATTTTGGAATTTACATGAGAAGAGTTGCTCTTTTTATAAAACCTAGACTAGTCCTAATGTAAATCAAGTCAGAATTATCTCTGGCAGCAAAATTATGAAACTGAGGCTGTCCTATTTGGGGCACATCATGAAAAGGCAAGATTCTCTGGAAAAGAGAATAATGCTAGGAAAGGTTGAAGGCAACAGGAAAAGAGGAAAGCCAGATATAAAATGGATTGACTCCCTAAAGGAAGCCACAGGCTTAAGTTTAAAAGAGCTGGACAAAGCTGTTGAGGACAGAACATTTTGTGGATCATTTATTCATAGGGTTGCTATAAGTTGGAGGTTACTTGACAGCACATAACAGACCAGTCTGACAGTCATTGCTGGGGTGGTGGCTTTCAACTAACTCTAGTTAGTAGTAGTACTGTGACAACCATAAGACTACAATTAATTAATCAGACCACTGAAACCGCTAATGTGGAGGAGCTTCACCCGGAGGCTTGTGGAAGTAAATCACCTCTAGATCCCATACTGTCTTACCATCACAACCTTGTAAAGTAGATCAGGCCACAACATGAATGTGGCCCAAAGTCAGCCAAATTAGTATGTCAACAAATGTTCCTGTACTCCTACTCTAACCACTATCTGTACACTGGCTCTATTGTATTTCAGTATCTGTACACTGGCTCTATTGTATTTCAGGTTGTTGTTTTTCCATAAATATTGGTATAAGAAAAAGAGAACAAGAACGAAATATTGTGGCACAGTACTGTATTTTAAAGACTAATGGGTTTAACGTGAGCTTTTATGGATCAGTATTTACTTCTTCAGACATGTGATGTTTCTGAAGAAGTGAACATTTCTGAAGAAGTGAATTTTGATTCATGAGAGCCCAGTCTGAAACAAATCCATTTGTTTTACAGTGTCATAGTAGCCTGTCTTTGCTTTTTTCCCATCCCTTTTTTCCATTTAATTTTGCCAACATGCGGAGACAAACTGAGACTACTTCTTTAGAAAATTATAATATAATCTCCTAAATTCCATGTTAAATAAGGAACTACACTATCAACCTGTCACTAATCTAGGACCATCATAGATTACTATAACAGTACAGTGGTGCCTCGCAGGACGATTGCCTCGCAGGACGATTAGTCCACAAACGATGGGTTTTTGCGATCACTGTTGCGCTTCGCAAGACAGATTTTCCTATGGACGATTTTCGCAAGACGATGTTTGGGTCCGTGCTTCGCAAGACGGGTTTTTTGTTGTTTTTTAGACCAATGCTTCGCAAGACGATGTTTTCCCCCACTGGAACGCATTAAATAGATTTCAATGCATTCCAATGGGGAACCACGTTTCGCAAGATGATGTTTTCTATGGATGATTTTCGCAAGACGACGATGTTTTTCCCCATCGGAACACATTAAATAGATTTCAATGCATTCCAATGGGGAACCGCATTTCACAAGACGATGTTATTTATTTATATAGTTGATTTATACCCCGCCTATCTGGCTTAATAAACCACTCTAGGCGGTTTTCGCAAGACAGCGATTTTTGTGGAACGAATTAACATCTTCTTGCAAGGCACCACTGTAATCTGAAAACAAGCGGGTTAATAACTTTGTTGTTGTTATATAGCACTAAAATCTTATGAACAGGTGATGGCTTTTGGATCCTGCAAGATTCTTCCTGACTCAGGTAATTATAGAGTTTCAGAAGCAACAGATTTTTTTTATTTTTTTTTTTGTAACAATAATGATACATGTTATACTGTATCAGTTGGCTTAGGTTAGGCATCCTTCAGTCTTGAGAGACGATGGTAACATGCTCTGTATCAGTGTCCTCTCCAGAGCACGAAGCCTGGGTAAAATAATATGGAGGATACGCTGTTACCCAAGCAGCAAATCCCCCCTCTCCATATCGCTGAAATAGTCCAATGGAAAGGCAAGAGCCAATACAATTGGTTCCAGCAACGTTGCAGGAGTTGCCAGAATGACATGAACTGCCTCAGGGACTCCGGCTCCAGATTTTGCCACAAGGTTTACTCCTGAAGCCCTTTCCATCAGTGGATATAGCCATAAGGCAGTGGAGGTTTGAAATCAGAGTTTTCCTTCTCCTAGATGGGCTGACTTCCAAGGCTGACAAGCCCCGCCTACCCGGCCTATTCCACTATTCCACTTGAAGCATTTTAGAATTTAGAAGTCTTCATTCTTTGCTTTGCTTGCAGGCCACTCTTCGAAGTTCTGTTTCCAGTGTAGGCAACTCCTCATTTAAATGCAGAACCTGGAATATATTCTGAAAAAGACAAAAGCCATATTCAGAAAATATGCTTTATTCTGAAATCTCCCTGTGACTCCAGAAAAGAAGTGGGAGTCTGCTTTTCCATTTGAGGTGGTGCCAGGGTGTCTGTGAAGGCCATTTGTACATATGCAAACAACAAAAAATCAAGAATTGTATAGAGCAATTCTTTTTTTCTTTTTCAAAAAGAACAGGAATTCCCTCCTCTTCTTTGAGTCCAGCAGACAGGACCAAAGAGGGGGGAAATCTCCAAAGAAAGGAGGCATGTTGGCAGTGGCAGACCACCTGGCAGCAATGGCAAAAATAATCCCAAGAAATGAGGTGGAATGCACCTAAAAATAGGGGTGGGAGAGGCATAAAATGAAAGGATGCACCAGGAGTTTAGCACAGAGTAATCCCATCTACAAGGAACAACTGAAGCCCAAAGGGAGCACTCCTCACTGGGATCCAGCCAGCCCAGGCCCTTTTACAGATTCAGCATTTCCATCCCCTGTCAGCATTTTGATTGGCTCCTGACAGCAACCCTCACCGTGGTATCAGATGAAAATTTCTCTTTTTTACTATTTTAAACTAAAGTACAGTATTGTGGTGTTTGGTCCATAAAGCACACCTAATATAATGAAGTGGTCTGTAGTAGACTGCTAAAGCTCATGCTATAATAAATGGTTTTAACTACATACTGTAGTTTCAGGTTTTCCTACCTCAGAACAAAGCCTTTCACTGCTTCTAGATTTCCCTGGCCCTTTTGGCTGGATCTTTGTTGTTAGTCGGGAGGAGATTTTGACTCAAACTAAACTAAGATTTGGGTTGAATGCTGTGATTTCAGAAAACACCAACAAACCTCGTAGTCTCTAGAGATTTTTCTTGGAAGCCCTACTAGAATCGACTGTATTTATTCTCTCGTGAATGCTAAAATTTGTCCCACTGAATTTCGCAGAAATCTTTTCTGAATAAACAAATAGTTATTCCATTTCCACCACACTTGTGACAGTCAAGTCTTTACATCCACCTGATACCAGAGGTGTTGCAGCCGAATCCTATAGGCTATAACCCAGAAATAAGTCCTAAGAAATCAGTTTCATCACAAGTACGAAAAGTTCCCATCTTTTCCCCGGGCACCGTTGTGTAAATACTAGCAAAACAAAGAGCAAGTTGCGCAAGCGCAGTGAGCGCTCATCCAGCGCGAGTTGCGTGGCGAGGGTTGGGAAAACGGCATAGTGCGGCATGACGTCACAGGGGCGGTCCCTTACATAACGAGGCAAAGAGCGGGCGGGGTGCTCAGAAGGTTCTGGCAGTTGGAGCGGTCGGTTGGCTTAGCGCAGTTGGTCCCTAACGGTTGTTGTCGCTGGGGTTATTGTGTAGCCATGGCCCGTAAGTATGCGACGAAAATGCCCCTTTCTCTCTCTCTGCGCCGACGGTTGACCGCGCTAAAAGCCTTCCGACTTAGAGGTTCCACGTTAGGGGGTGACGACGGTGGTGGCGGCGGCGGCCCGTTGCGAATCGGCCTCCGGTTGGGTGTAGGCCGGCGGGAGGCGCCGTTGCCCGTCGCGCGCACATAGTCGGTCGTGTGGGCGGTGATTGTTGGGTCCGGCGCTTGCCTAATAAAGTGGAAGCTGTGGAGAAGGAGGCTCGAGGCTAAGCGACGTGGGCGCGGGAGGGGGAGGACGGGCGGGCGTTGTTCCGGCGGCTCCGGCGAAGAAGTTTCTCCGACAAGAAAAGCAGCCTTTCTGATCCCTGCGGCCCGTTTTAATTGACCGAGATGTTTTACAGTTTGAGTATCTTCAGATTAGCATACCGGCCTCAGATACTTGTTCACAACTTCTGCCTTCAAATTCGTTGGTATTCTGATAAATAGCTGTACAACATAACGGCCAGGGATCTCTTATCCTGACCGTTATATTGTACAGCTATTTATCAAGGAAACAATGTCAATGAATTAGTTATGTATCTCAGTTTGATGAAATATATATAAATGGTCTTGGTTTGTAAAAATGTAGGTTATTGTGTTTCGTTGAAACGACTCTGCAAAGTTGGGAGAATCAGTTTTGGCATTGTTGTTGCACTGATGGCGACAACATCTTTTTGCAGCAGAAAGTTGCTGCTCACGGTGGTCTCCAGGAGTGGCGGTTTGTTTTCTAAAAAGTTGCACTGACCCCAGCACTGTTTCACATTCCCAAAGTCAGTTTTTCAAAACTGAAAGTGAAATTTCAGTTGCTTTTATTTATCGTAGGCTCTGGGAGAAACTGAGTCTGAGACACATCAAAGATGGTTTTGTAACTGTGTACACACTCTCCTTTAGTGTTACTAGACTTCAGGGGGTTGGATTGTCTGCCTGTGGAGCTGGAGACCAGGAGTTTGAAACGCGACTGTTTGTACCAGCAGAGGGGCTAGGTAAGAGCATATCTGGGTGATGGGATTATGTGGCACAGTAACAGTGTGGCAGAGGGCAAGCTGAATATTCACAGGCCATCATCAGTGGAAAGAGGAGTGTTAAACCCCATCTTAATATTTAGGAAAGCCTGGTAAGTTTACTATAAATTGGAATCTGCTAGATAACACATTGCTATATTTTTAGTTGTAACACAGATTGTGCTTTCAAAACGCAACACACACATGAAAAGGGAATGGGGAGAGGGAAAGAAAGCAAACTCACCAAGGAAATCTTGTAGAGTTTTGCAACTCAGTTTGATGAAATGGGTTTGGATGAGGAAGGTACAGTAAAGTGTTCAGGAAAACGGAGCACCGATGTGACAGTATTTTGGTGAATGGATTGCTCTAATTTTCTTCTGGATATTCATGTAAATTAGTAGATATAGAGTTTTTGGATTGAAATAATCTCTCTTCTACTTTGTTTTAACATGATGGCCTGGAAACATCCCTGCACCCCATGAGAGCACTGAAGAAAAATACTTGCCATAAATACTTTTTGATTTAGGCACATATTTCATATGACATGGGGATTTTTTTCTTTATCAAGGTGTACAGTTTGAAATAATAACTAGTTTTGTTTATTGACAGTAAAATTAATTTGATTTTCAATTAAAACCAAGTTAAACAGCACTTATTAATTTTACTTCAATAAACAATCCAGTTTAAAACCTACCTAAATTAGAAGATACTTGCTACTCAATGGAAAGCTATTAAAGATGACAGAGGAGTTACAATGTCTGGAACAAACAGTTCTTCTGTCTTCTGCCAAATGCACTTCTAATGGTGACAAGAGAAGGGTATCCTAAAACCCCATGCAAATTCCTATCCTCAAACAGTGGAATGTTAATTACTTTGGGTTTGCAAATATAGTTTAGGTGAACTGCATTTAACTCATAAAACAGTCAAGAATTTTTGCATATGAAGTATAGTTTTGCAAATTCATACACTCTGTATAACTGTTGATACTCCTTGTCTATATTCTCATGTTACTTTGGAATCAATATCCTTGCATAGTTGTCAGAAAAAAATTAAACATCTAGCTGAATAGGAAAAAACTCAAATGTGTAGTTTAAATAAAATAGCAACTGTGCAAATTCTTTTTAAGCTGTTGTTTCTTTTGTACAGTTCAATGGGGTGGTGAATAAGTTTACTTAAGTGGTAACAAACTTTTCTTAGACATTATTCATAATGATTAAAAAGCATGCATATCCTTCAGCAGCAACTTTGAAATTCAATCAAAAGGAGGCCCCAATATGCCAAACTTCCAATTGTTAGTGTTTTGCTTTCCAAATTAATAGTCTTGGAATCATCAACCCTTTAGAGAAGTGTGTATGGTTTCAACTAAAAGTATATCACAAAAATCTGGGTAAGATTAGAGGTTTTCCACTTTAGGTGAAGATACTGATGAATAGCTTTTATTAGTCCTTTTCTTAAACAAATCCATAAGATCTGATATAATTGGCAAATTCTTCCCCATTCACCTCTTTTTAAGTCACCCATCCATATTCCTTCCACGATAACCCAGACTTTGGAACTCCCTACTTCTGGAGGCCAAACTGGCCCCATCTTCACTATCCTTCAGCAACCAGGCAAAGACCTTTATCTTCAGGCAAGCTTTTTATGCTCATCGTCTTTTAATGATGTAAACTACTGTTGTATACTCATTGTTTTCAGCTTTAAGTATTGATTTTCTGTGATGTAAGCTGCCTTGGGTCCTTTTTAAGGAGAAAGGCAAGGTAAAAATATTTTCAATAAATAAATAACAAATGGTACTAGTTTAGATATTGGTAAAGCCTATATTACATGATTCGTGTAGCGTGACCAACAACCAAAGACAGGTCTATAGTTTAAAGAACATGTTTAAAACGGGGGAATGTTTTGGTTTCAGCTCTTCTAGGTCATTCGCTTTGCTTCCGTATCAATTGTGGGGGAAAAGACTACTCATTTTATATCCCAAGTATTGAAGAATTGTTTCCAATGTTAATTCCATCTATAGCATAGCTTCTAAAATGTGTGAAATTGTAGTTTAATAGTCAATATGAAAACTTCATTAGACCCAAATTAGCATGGGAAGTAAATGTTGGTTGGCTCATCTCTGATTTCTGGACTACTTGGCAAAAGTTGTCTTTTAGATCAATTTTTGCTAACACCAGAGAGTGTTAAATCAATAAACTTTGTGGCTACTGTCACTATCTGCAGTGATCATGGAGCCCAAGAAAGTAAAATCAGTTACCACCTACATATCCCCCCCTTCTATTTGCCAGGAGGTGATGGGGCCAGTGGCCATGATCTTATTTTTTTTTATGTTGAGCTTCAGACCGTTTTTTACACACTCCTCTTTCACCCTCATTACAAAATTCCTTAATTCCTCCTAATTTTCTGCCACCAGTGTGATATCATCTGCATATCGGAGGTTGTTGATATTTCTTCCGGCAATCTTAATTCTGTGCTTGGGATTCCGCCAGTCCAGCCTTTCACATGATGTATTCTGCATATAAGCTAAATAAGCAGGGAGGCAATACAGTCTTCTCATACTCCTTTCCCAATTTTGAACCAATCCGTTCCATTTCTAACTGTTGCTTTCTGTCCCACATATAGATTTCTCAGGAGATAGATAAGGTGGTCAGGAACTCCTGTTTCTTTAAGGATTTGCCATAGTTTGCTGTGGTCCACACAGTCGAAGGCTTTTACATAGTCAGTGAAGCAGAAGCACAGTAGATGTTTTTCTGGAGCTCTCTGGCTTTCTTCATAATCCAGCGTATGTTAGCAATTTGGTCACTAGTTCCTTTGCCCCTTCGAAATCCAGCTTCTACTTCTGGGCGTTCTCGGTCCAGATACTCCTGAAGCCTACCTTGTAGGATTTTGAGCATAACCTTCCTAGTATGTGAAATGAGTGCAATTGTACGGTAACTGGAGCATTCTTTGGGATTGGGATGTAGACTGATCTTTTCCAATCCTCTGGCCACTGTTGAGTTTTGCAAACTTACAGGCCTATTAACAGCATCATCTTTTAAGATTTTAAATAGTTCAACTGGAATGCCATCACCTCCACTGGCCTTGTTGTTAGCCATGCTTTCTAAGGCCCACTTGACTTCACTCTCCAGGATGTCTGGCTCCAGGTCAACAACCACACTATCTGGGTATTCCGGGACATCCACATCTTTCTGGTATAATTCCTCTGTGTATTCTTGCCACCTCTTCTTGATGTCTTCTGCTTCTGTGAGGTCCATACCATTTTTTTCCTATTATTTTCTTCTATTTCTTTGCACTGTTCATTTAAGAAGGCCCTCTTCTCTCTCTTGACTACCTACTTTAGCATTTCAGTCCCCCATAGCCTTTTGTTTCTGTCCATGGAGTTTTCTTGGCAAAGATACTGCAGTGGTTTGCCAGTTCCTGCTCCACCTGGATCACGTTTAGTCAGAACTCTCCACTATGACCTGTCCGTCTTGGGCAGGGGTGAGCAATTAATTTCTATGGGGGGCCACATGAAAAATCTGAACTGTGTTCGGGGGCCAAAACAACTTAAAAATAAAATGAAACAGTGATGTTATGATAGTTTTTATTTTAAACTTGTCAATTTTCACAAATACTAAAGAGGTTTTTTGTGATATGTTAAAGATAAGTAACTGATCAACTTTAGACAAAAAGCTATAAATGGTTTTGATGTTCAAAACTGTCCAGGGGCCGGACAGGAGCAGCTCATGGGCCACACACTTTGCCCAGGTCTGGTCTTGGGTGTCCCTGCATGGCATAGCTTCTCTGAATTACTCAAGCCCCTTCACCACAACAAGGCATAATCCATGAAGGGGCTCATTGAACCTACATGTATCGAAAACAACATTCTTAAGGCCCAAATGCTAGAGGAGTTGTGGAAAAGTTGGATCTTATATCCATTCTTAGTCGGGTAATAGCACAAAGTTTTCTTTATATAAAATGACTGCACATGCTGTAATACTCCAGCACAGGAGCTTCTGTTGCTTTTCTTGAACCCCAGTGATTATTTTCAGCATAGAGACCTTATTGTTGTGTTTAGCAGCCCAGCTTGTTACAGCTGCAGTTTGGGAAAGGCTCAAAAATGTGGGAAAATCAGATCTAGATGTTACCTTTATTAGAAAAATTGACAGCTTGAATGAAATATTTCGTAGATCATAAGAGCAATGAGGAATTCTTTGCAACTTGGTTTCCTTTTTTCTCTCTTCTGTTAACACTAATATTCTGGTGCATCTTGTCTTGCCAGCTCTGTTAATCTATAGAATTGTTTATTTGTTTTGATTTGTATACTACCCCATTAGTGAATGCCCACTACTCTGGACAGTTCACAGAATAAAATGTGACCTCCCTAAGCTCCATCTTAGTGTATCAGTATGGCAATGCACCAACTCAAACACAGTTGACAAAAATACCTATTTTTAATTAATATTAAAAATACTGATTAAAAATATTAAAAATACTTTTATTAATCTGACAGAACCTTGTTCTTTGGTTTCTTTATTGTGCAGTTACAGCCTGTCACACTTGTTAGTTGTTACTGAAGCTGCAGTCCATCACCAAACCTTCCACTCACATTGACTATTTTGTTTTGCCCTGTGTTAATCAGTTTCAGTTTCTGCAGACTGATGATGTAGACAAGACCCTTTGAGAAGTGACGGCTACCACATATCTGATGGATCCTGGCTTATAAAAGCTTCCAGAAAGGGATTGGTTGAGTGGGTAGGAAGATTGATGAATGCTCTTTGCAATAGGATAGGATCCCATCATATTCAACAGGTGCACTAGTAATACTGAGCCCTCCTTGGATCCCATGATACTGAATAGTTACCACCAGTCTCTTAATATTCTATTATTGTGCAATGTGCTGGAGCAGGTTGTTACTTCTCAGCTTCAAGGGTTCCTGGATGAGACATATTATCTAGATCAGTGGTCCCCAAATTTTTGGCACCGTGGACCGGTTTAGCATGTGTGCAGGGGGAATCTGTGTGCATGAGGGGGCATGCATTTGTCCATGAGGGGGGTGCATCTGTGCAGGGGGGCATGTGTGCGTCAGTGCATATAGGGGGGCAGGAGATTGTCTCCATGGCCTGGCCCTGCCATGGGTCAGGACCAGGGGTTGGGAACCACCGATCTAGATCCATTTCAGTCTGACTTCAGGCCTGGTTATGGGGGTGGAAACTGCTCTGGTTGCCTTGGTGGATGACCTACTGTGATTGGGTTCATCATATATCTGGAGCAGTTCTTCTCTTTTGGTGGGAAATAACGAGGGAACCTCTTTTTGAACATCAACTGTTTTATTGAACTTAACTTCTGGTGAATCAACTATCACCTCTACCAGTTTTAATAAATTCATATCAGGCAATGGTCCATATTGAGGGGACAACATATTTGTCTTTGAATTGACATGATTTATGAAGGGGTTGGTCCATGTCGTTCGTGATCATTGGGCTTCCTCAGGGGTGTACTCCTCACCGTGCATATGGTCCCACAGCAAGGGTGTCTGGCCCAGTCGGCCTCCAGTGGTGGACTCTTGAACGAGGAGTCTGGTTGGACCACCTTCTTCCAACAACCTTGTCCTCATGGATACACCACTACTGTCCATTCTAGGGAGTTTACCTGTGTCCCATTTCCTTTGGAGGTGCCCAGATCTGGCAACAATCCTCCGGTCTTTAGATTGGGAAAATCTTCTAATAATCCTTTCATTCTGTTATATTCGGCTTCTTTCTCCCTCTCTCTCCTTTCTCCCCTCTTTCCTGATGTTTCCGGTATTCTAAATTGTCTCCTCCCACTCTGATCTTTTATATCTTCCTCCCATACGGGTATAATTAACTCCCTCTCCTCCTCTTTCTCCTCCTCAATCTTTTCCTCTCTTTCCTTTGTTTCCCTCCTGATCTCTTCCTTTTCCTTCAACCCTTTGTTTCCTAATATCTCTTTCACTTCACAGCTTTATCACACGTGGGTGTCTTTTGTTGAGGGGCGGGCTCACACTCCACTTTCTCTTTTTTTCTCTATCTCTCCTTCACACCTACATTAGGAACTGGGCAAGGGGAGTGTGTCTTTGTTGGTTCTGCTAGACCTCTCGGCAGCTTTTGATGCAGTTGACCATGGTATCTTTCTGGGCCATCTCTGGGATGGGACTTGGAGACATTGTTTTACAGTGGCTCTGGCCTTCTGCACCTGCTCCTAGAGAGTTTGAATCTAGCCACAGTGATGCATGCCTTGGTTACATCCCAGTTGGATTATTATAATGAGCGCTGCGTGGGACTCACTCTGGAAAGTGGAAACTTTCAATGGGTCCAAAGTGAGACTGCCAGATTGCTAAGTGAGGCTGATTACAGGAATCACATAACCTCCCTGTTACAGCAGCTCCACTGGCTTGCCAATCCATTTCTGGGCAGAATTCAGAATTGTGGTTCTAATCTATAAAGCCCTAAATGGCTTGTGCCCAGACTATCTCAAGGACTGTAGCTCCCCTGATGAGTCTGCTCAGGTGCAGTGATCATCAGGAGAGGCCTTTCTCTTGGTCTCATCACCTCAAACATGCATTTGGTAAGTACATGGATGAGGGCCTTATCTGTTGCTGTTCCCAGACTTTGGAACTCCTTCCTATAGGACAGTGGTCCCCAACCTTGGACCTCCAGATGTTGTTGGACTAAAACTCCCAGAAGTCTTCACCACCACCACTGCTAGTCAGGATTTCTGGGAGTTCAAGTCCCAGAACATCTGGAGGCCCAAGTTTGGGGACTACTGCTATAGGAGGCCACACTGGCCCCATCTTTCCTGTCCTTCCGCAAGCTTCCCCTCCGTGACTGGTTACCTGAGTGGGAATTTTGAATGGATTGTGAGGCAGTTCTGCTTTGATACTTTTTTGATGGTGCTGCTTTTGTTTACTGTTTTTTAGTGTGGTTTGTGTTTAATCCCTTTTAGTATGTGTGTACTTCCTGTATTTAGCTTTAAGTATGGTCTTTCAACTATGTAGGCTCTTTTTTCAAAGAGAAAGATGGGATAAAATATGTTAAATAAAATTTCACATGTGGGCAAGCTGTTCTTCGGCGATCATAATTATGGTTTGTCATTGATGGTTCTATAATATTGAACTTCCAATACAAATCACAAAAAAAATTGTGTTTGGCCTTGCACTCAACTTTTTTGCTTGTATTAATGTTTTGTTTGGACCACAGAAATTGAGGCTGTTTTAACCAGGTGTAGATTATCAAATAAATTAGAATGTCTGATTTTTCTTTGGCACAGTTGACAAGCATTGCAACCAGTTTTCTTCTTTGTATATATAGAAAACACTGAGTTGGATTCATTTTGTGTTCAGGTGGTTGAGCCTGTTCATGAAAGTGTTTTGAATATATTAAGTGAACATGCAGTGTGGCCCACTGATGATAAACAAGTTTGTTCTCTAAAACAGTGATCCTCAACCTTGGGCCTCCAGGTGTTCTTGGACTTCAACTCCCAGAAATCCTGGCCAGAAGAGGTGGTGGGGTAAGCTTCTGGGAGTTGTAGTCCAAGAACATCTGGAGGCCGAAGGTTGGGGACCACTGTTCTAAAAGATGTAAGTTTAAATTTTTGCAATGAGAAGGTAATTGTATAAGCCAGAATGAAGGCAAATGTAGATAAATGAGCATTGGGCAGAGGATGACAGGTTCAAAAGAAGGAAAATTAGTATGATTACACACTTTCCTGTCTGTCAAGGTAGATTTTAAGCTTGAGTTTCATATGGCATGAGATTGGGACATTTGTTCAGGTGTGATCTTCCAAAGAGCAGGGGAACCAGTAGTATTCAAGGATGGTATGTGAAAATGCACAGGTATACTAGGGGAAGAAAGTGTGCCAGGAGGTAGATATGGGAGTTTTCCTACACTGCATGTAAGGAGTATGAAAAGAGGATATGTCATACTGCCAGCTAAACTTGGTGCTGTGCAGGTAGAATATGAAGAAGGATGGTGCTATTAAATTATAAAAGCATTTTTTACTAAGTACTCTATAATTTATCTCTTAACACTGTCACACCCTTAGGTGGGAACCAGCGTGAACTTGCCCGCCAAAAGAACATGAAGAAAGCCCAAGAACAGAATAAAGGAAAAAGAAAAGATGAGACTCTGTCTGCTTCTCAGAGGAAACAGAGGTTTGTTTGCTTAACAGTCTGAATGAGCTGGGTATCTTGATGAAGGGGGTAAGCAGTATCGCAATACTATTCACAGAGTACTTCAAAATCCAGCAAAACTTTATAAGTTGTATTTCTTTTGGAAAACATACTGGCCAAGATCTGGTTGCATAGGTATGTCTGAGGAAGGCAAACAGTGTAGCTTGCAACATCTGCTTTCTGGCAGTTAACACATTCCTGGTCAGATATTTTGGGCATGTGGCTTGAAATCCATTAAGTAGCAGCAAAAAGCTACTGCAGGTTACACCATATGCTGCTTTCAGGCATAATTAAGCAACAGGATTTTAGCTATTGAGCTTTGGAAGAAGAATTAGCTTTACAAAGTAAAGAAGACATTCTTCGACTGTTCGACTAAAAGATCTGAATGTACTGCTCAAGTAAGCTATAAAAATATACTCAAACCTGATCTTTTATTTTACAGAGACTCTGAAATCATGCAGCAAAAGCAGAAAGCAGCTGATGAGAAGAAGTCTGTTCAGACAGGAGCAAAATAATCTGTGGCTACACAAAGGACCTAATAATGCTGCAGTGCATCTCAAAATATAGGGCCTAAAAAAACATATTTGTAAAAGTAGCCAGCCATTAAATTAAACGGTTAATGTTTATCTTCTAATTGCTCACTTGTCCAGTATGCATTTATTTTAGACGATCTGGTTATTGTAGTGCAGTTGCCGCTGACCTGGCTTTAATTAATAGCATCTGTTCCAATAAAATTGGATTCTAAATTCTTAATTCCCTTTGCATGTCTATAAGTAATAGTAGTAGTAGCTTGACTGCAGTTTTCATTGTTAAAATGTTGGCTTCGTAAATGGTATGTGTGACTGTACCAGTTATTAAATATTAAAGTAGACTTGGAAACTTGTGTGGCAATTCATAACATTCAAAAGTGATGCCATTTTAAAAGCCCAGGTCTGTATACTTGCTTTCCACTTTGTAAAGGTCAGCTGTAAAGTTAATCGTAAATTATTTTTACAATAAAATGATGCATGAAGTGCTGTGTACTTTGGAATTGGGTACTCAACGCAACTGCAGTAGACATTCAGTTGCTGCTGACGGTCTTGACGCACGTCAGGGTTTATATCTGCAGTGAGCACAGTTAAAAAACTCTCTTTACATTGTGTTTGAATTGCAGCCCGAGTACTTGACTCCATTCTTCAACAACTATGCGGCAAAATTGTCTATTGTATTTCCTATGTAGAAGTGTGACGAAAATTCTGTAACCTGAGTGAAGACATAAACAGCTTTATATTTTAACTAAATATTGGTGGATTGCAGAAATTATCACTAGAGAATACATTTGCACTCATGTTTGTTAGGTTTCACCGTTTTCCACACAAGTACTTAAAATTCTAACAGAGGGGCTTGCAGTAGGACTCCTATATCTGCCTATTACTGATTCCAAGCAGCCCCCCCGCCCCACGGATGCCTGAAGCTGTGGATAGTAGCAAACCCATTTTGCTGCTTGTGGGGTGCAAGAGAAGGAGGTGAGTGTGCACTGCAGACTGGGTTGCAGCAGTGGCAACTCCAGATACTAACTCCAATGATACACAAGTCTTACTGTAATTAGCTTTCATTGTTGTGCTTTGAGAAGCAGAAAAGAACAAAAGCCAGTGTACCAGTGATAATATCAAGTTGTTCTGTGTTCTGCCAATAGTTTTTCAAAGGGCAGCTTTAGGAGAAAGATGGTCAGGGTTACCTTGACTCATTTTCAGAATGCTCAAAGACAGTTAAAAACAAACAATGAAATACAGTTGCCTATGCAGATTTGTTATAAAGCTACATACAGGAAACTCCCAAATGTGGAATTTTTCAGGCAAGAACATTCAGGTAAAACGTGAAAATTTTTTACAACCAGAAACCCACCTGCTATTGTCTGTTAGCTGTGCTTGGAAAATCTAAAAAAAAGAATCCATGACACTAAAATTTTTAAAAGGTGACAAGTTGGAGTTTGAATACTGCTTAAAATGTGTTAGCATAAGAGAGTTGACTGTCAAGTGTACTCTAGCTAAATTTCAATTAAGGGTGTCACAGAAAAGGACAAGGCTGATTTAGATTCTCAGGGCTGGAATGTTGCATTGAACTGGCTTTCCTTTGAAAAATGTTAGGAAAATGTTAGAAAATGTTAGAAATTCTGCAATTTTTCAAACTACTTATCTTTATAGGTTTCACTGTATTGAGTTGTAAACATACAGAGCCAAATTTTAACCATAAGTTTAGTGCATTAAAGCATTAATTGTAGTCATGTGCATGAGATTTGTGCTGGTGAAAATACTAGATGTTAGATCAAATCATTATTAAAGACAACTAAAATGCCTTGATATAGTTCCTACCAGTACCTTTTGGAGTGCAGTTCCATGAACATCAGCTGGGATGGTAAGTGGTCACAGTTTATGAGATGTTATCTGTCCATGTTCAAGATAATTCTATGAAGTTTGTTAATAGGGCACAAAAGCCACAACTTACTGTTTGTATGCCCACAATTCTGACACTCAAAAATTTACTTCCCCACCAGAGCAGGTTGTGTTTGTCTTGTATACAATTCTAAAACAGTACTGTTTCTCACACACCTATGTAGTATTTTGGAGTAAATCTTACTGCAAGTGAATAGCAAAGATGAAATTGAAAATATGTAGCAGGAAGTGTGTAAGTATGGCAGTGAAATATGGTTAAGAGGGTTGACCTTATACAAATTACATTTGATCTGCACTAGTAGAAAGAAGCAGAGGCATACAGGCAAACAATAGAAACTCAAAGGGAAATATTAGAATTTGTAATTACTAAAGGAAGCCTTTCTTTAACTTCTTAGAGTGAAGCCCCCCCACTCATATTAGCATGACTTTTTCCTGGACAAATAAAATATAGTAGAATTTTCTCATGCTTGGATACCCAGAGGTTGGGAGTTCGATCCCCTACTGTGCCTTCTGAACAAGGGCTGGACTTCATGATCCATAGAGTCCCTTCTAGCTTGGCAGTTCTAAAACCATTAGATTTTAAAAAGTAATACCTTGGTAAACATTGCTACTTTCCATCCAGGGAAACTACTGAAACATCTGGCTTTATTTAAAAGAGCTAAATTTCTGTCTACTTCCTAAAGCATGCTTACTAAGTAGCAGAGGCAGTTGTCATTTAGTTGTGTCCAACTCTTCATGACCCCATGGACCAGAGCACGCCAGGCCCTTCTGTCTTCTCTTGAGTCTCCTCCAGCACCACAATTCAAAAGCATCAATTCTTCAGCAGTCAGCCGCCTTTATGGTCCAGCTCTCACTACCATACATCGCTACTGGAAAAACCATAGCTTTGATTTTGTGGACCTTTGTTGGCAAGGTGATGTTTGCTTTTTAAGATGCTGTCTCGGTTTGTCATCGCTTTCCTCCCAAGAAGCAGGCATATTTTAAATTTCGTGGCTGCTGTCACCGTCTGCAGTGATCATGGATACCAAGAAAGTAAAATCTGTCACTGCCTTTATATCTTCCACTTTTGTTTGCCAGGAGATGATGGGGCCAGAGGCCCTGATCTTGAGCTTCAGACCATTTTTTGCGCTCTCCTG